CATCATCCTCGGAGACTGGACGATAACTATCATCATCCGGGTCATTGGGCATGGCCTGTTTATCAGGGTTATCTTGCCCGTTGTTTTGTTCCTCCTATTCGGATGCAGCCCCGACAGGGTCTTCATTGTTTTCGGCGTCGCCCAGAGTACTATTTTCTCCGGTGCCAGTGTCGTCATCTTTTGAGCGACGAGGCTTAGAGCGGCGTTTAGGACGCCGACGCTTGGACTGTGTCTCAGAAGGTTTATTCACAACTGGATCTCCTTTGTCATCGTCGCTAGCTTTTTTAGGTGTGTCGAGACCATGTACACATTGTATGCAGAGGTGGCCGTCCAACGTCCAGTAAATGGCGGGTCTTGGCCTTGCTCCTGGTCGGCATCGTCGTCCATACCGTCGATGTCTTCAGAGCCGTAATCAAGCACGTCGGTTAAGTCATCGACAGTGGCTATGAAGTGGGTGGCGGGTGGGAAGCGAAATTGCCCATCATCAGCCTCTGGCTCGAACCGAACATAGTTCGGCTGTGAGTCCTTCTCCAAGGACAAGTCCTTTAAAGAGTTTAGCACATCACCCAAAGGTGAGTGCTGGAGGATGTCTGCGACACTAAATTCGAAAATCGATAACCGATCAAGCTTGGCGTCTGCAGGCGTACCCGGTCCGGAACTTATAGCCAGAGACGAGTCCGGAGTTCCATTGACGCAAATATTTCGGGGTGCCGAGTCCGTGTGCGGCTCCAAGGCCGCGGACTCGGTGGCCCCAGATGGCACGATCTGCTCCGGTTCTAAGGCCGTTGCAGCAACAGGGACCATCTCCTGGATGTGATCCGATGACAGATTTAATTCATGTTCATCGGGGCGAGGGGGAGTGATCGCTGCGGTCTCAAATCCATTGAGGATCAAGTCTCCACGGATATCCGTGACGTAGTTCAAGCTTCCGATTCTGACCTGGTTGCCAAGCGAGGTGGCCCGCAGTACGAAGCCGCCGAACACGAAAATCTGTCCGGGGAGGAAGGTTTCTCCTTGGACAGCGTCACTATAGACAATTGAAGGGGCCATCGAACCTTTCGTTGACGGCACAGTGGAACTCCCAATGAAAGCACCAATGTCGGTGTCAAAACCGGCGGATCTCGGGTAGGGGGTCCCGAACTATGCATCTAGGATCGATGGTAACAGGAGACGGGGGACACGATGTTTACCCAGGTTCGGGCCCTCTCTATGGAGGTAATACCCTATGTCTTGCTTGATTGATCTTGATGAATATGAGTGTTACAAGAGTTGATCTACCACGAGATCATAATGGCTAAAACCCTAGAAGTCTAACCTGTATGACTATGGTAATGAATATATCCTTTCCGGACTAACCCCTCCGGTTTATATAGACACCGGGGGGGTCTAGGGTTACATAGAGTCAGTTACATAAGAAGGAATCTTCATAGTCGGTCGCCAAGCTTGCCTTCCACGCCAAGGAGAGTCCAATCCGGACACGGGTACAGTCTTCGGCCTTCATGTCTTCACAGCCCATCAGTCCGGCCCATGGATAACAGGCCGGACGCCCGAGGACCCCTTAGTCCAGGACTCCCTCGGATGTACATATGAACGGAAACGTTTTCCCTGAATTGACTGTGTGGGATGTACATAAGAACAGAAACATATTCCTTGGATTGACTGTGTGTGATATACATACGAACAGAAACGTTTTCCCTGGATTGACTATGTGGGATGTACATAATAAAGGAAACGTATTCCTTGGATTGACTGTGTGTGATATACATATGAACGGGAATGTTTTTCTGGGATTCACCATGTGGGATGTACATACGAACGGAAATGATTGGGTTTCAATGCCTCGCCCGATCGCACACGAGCTCATTTTGCCCTAGCCTGTGTCCCAGGAGAGCCTATCCCCAATGGTTTCTGGGTCGTGTGGGAAGGACCCCCCTATCGCCCACACTCACTTGGCGACAGTTCCAAATGTCATCGCGGAAAGCGGTTAAAAACTGTTTGTATAGCACCGATGCGTACCAGTGACCTAACGGTCATATCATTGAAGGGCATTTATGTCTTATCATATCGGGCTGCTCTCCACCTATAAATAGCCGCCCCCTACAACCACTAGCTGGTTGGCTGCTCCGAGAGAAACTGACACTTTTCATTGAGAGCATCCCATCCTCTGAGGACTTTGAGCGAAAATCATCACTGAGGAAACCCAAACCCAAACACCTACAACCCAAAGTGGTTGAGCATCACTAAAGAGATTGAACCTATGTGGAACCGACGCTTGTTACCTTTAAGGACTGTGCATCGTCCAAACGGTTAGGCTTCATGGTTTAGAACATCCAAGAGGAATTGTGGATCGCCGAGTGACCGAATCTGTGAAGGTTTGGAAGTCACCTAAAGACTTACGAAGAGTGATTGGACGAGGTCTGTGTGACCTTAGCTCAAGGAGAATATGGTGAGGACTGTGTGTCCGGGACTGTGTGTCCTCAGGTTTAAATACCTAGACGCTCCAACCAAACGTACAACTATCACAGCAGTTGAAACTAGTCTACCAAATCATTGTCTTCACCAAGCTACTGGTTCTACTTCCTCAACCCTTTCATTTCCTTATTTATGTGTTGATGAACTTGATCGTTATTGTTTGAAGACTTTGACTGAAGACTTTCTCAATTTCCTCAATCCCATTTCTTCAATCATCTTATCTTCAACCTGCTTATCCTATTTTCATGCTACATGTACTCTGAGCTTGTTTCATATCATCATGATGGTTGTGTTACTGCCATGTTACACTTGCACCCGAGTACTTATTCTGCTGCTTGTAGTTCGTCGCTTAGGAAATTCCTCACTTAGAATTTCCTCAGTGACAAATTTGTAAAAATCGCCTATTCACCCCCCCTCCAGTCGATATAACGCACTTTTAGTTCCGAGCAGTGGCGCGGTGGCCACCCCCTCCGGCGGTGCCACCGAACCCAGGACCACGAGGTCCGGAAACGGAGGTGGAGCCGGAGCGGCCGTCATCGCATTGACTGGACGAGGCGGTCTGGTGCAAAGAGGAGACGACACGCGCAAAGCCCGCATGAGATCGACCTCAAAGTTTGCCAACCCAACAACCCACCGCTCATGGATGTGGTTGTTGCCGCCGCTGATGGGGGTCAGCGGACGTCGCGATAGCGGGCGACTCATCGGAGGAGAGAAGAGGAGATCAACGGGTGGTGAGAGAAGAGTGAGGAAGCGTGGTGTGAAAGGGAGTGGGTGGTGAGATAAGAGAGGGGGAGTTATGAGTCGTCTTGTCCATCTCCCGCGCTCCCTGAGGCGTGCAGTGAAGAACCACGTGTGGCCGCGCTCAGCCTGGCTGCGGAGAAACTGCCGATTCGGCAGTAGCTCACGGGCCTGGCTCGAGACTACTTTAAATTCCATGCGGGTCGAGACATGGGTGTATCCTAGGCAACCAAACATCATATTTTCGTCCTGCACGGGTCTGGTTGGCCCAAATGCGAGCAACCAAATGTGTCATTAGTTTTTATCCCTAGTGTCTTAGGATGTTGTATGAGAGCGTACATGGTGTACATGGGCGACGCTGCCTCGTCCCTTTTTTGGCTGTGTACATGGTGTACATGTGCTCCGTTGTTGCTGTACGAGAGGGCTGCCACCCCGCCCAACATGCTCGTGGTGCTGAGCACCAGATGGAGATGCCTGACGTGCTCTTGAGCTTCTCCTCGTGCGCCGGCCGTAGACTGGGCTCCCTCGCCCGCGCACCCGACAGATCACGTGCTCTCAAGCAATAGAGAAGAGGAGATCGAGGACGAGCATGAGGTAGCGTCACCGCCCGCGTGGCTTGCCTTCATCTTCCGCGGCCACCATGGTGACGCCGCCCACTTTCCTTCATCCATCATGAAGCGGGAGCGACCGTGGGCCGTGGTATCCGGCGAGGTAGAACGGGATTGTGATGTCCAGCGAGGTGCAGCAAGCTCGAGGTTGCTAGCGAGGTAGATTAGAGGCATCGTGGCTGGCTAAAGGGACTCGTGTGGGTTTGCCGTGGACGGCACACTCAATGCATGCAATGTGTTCGATGAAATGCCCAATAATCCAATGTGAGAAGGAAGAAGATGGGAGAATGAAATACTGTCGTGTGGACGAAGACCGGTCAAAACCACGCTGAGTCAGCAGTGATACCGAAACAACCGAGACAAGGAACTAATTTGTCCGGTTTTAAGAGTTGAGAGTGTAAGCAGTCCGGTTTTAAAATTAAGGATTAAATCTAGACTTCGCTACCAACTGAGGGATGAAAAATATATTTGTCATAATGGTGCGACAAAGCGCGCATTTATTTTTAGTCATACCATTTCTTACTTTGGTGTTCCTTTCTATTTGTGTGTTTTCAATTACACGTTAACCGGGGAAGGAACGCGTATCGGCAGGAATGTGTATTCGAAACAATGCAGGTGCCACATGTCCCCCTTCCGGATAGACCCACGCCGACCATCGCGTCACGCTCCGGTGCCACGTGACCTGCCGACATCACGGGCCCACGGACTTAATCGTCAACAACCTCCAACCTCAAGTCTTCGTGTGATAATGGTAACAGCGTACTAGTAGCAGATGATTTTGAACTCGACTGACCGCTGGGCCCCATCTCGCCGCGGAAGATTCTAGCCCCTCGGGAGAAGGCTCAGTGACTCGCCGGCGAGATGATCGTGTCGGCGCTCGCGACGGCGGTGGGCGTCAACCTGGGCCTGACCGTGCTGCTCGTCTCCGCCTACTCGCTCCTCCGCCGCCGCCCGCCGTTCGTCTCCGTGTACGCCCCCCGCCGCCCCTACGCGCCGCTCGAGTCCTGGCTCGCCGCCGCGTGGCGCCGCTCCGAGGACGACATCCATGCCGCCGCGGGGCTCGACGGCGTCGTCTTCGTCCGCATTTTCGTCTTCAGGTCCCGCTCCCAAATCCCCATCCCCTCTCGCTGTGTTTCTTCGTTCCCTTCGCCTTGTTACTGAATCCGAGGGTGCTGTGGGGCTATGGGATGCTGCAGCATCAGGCTTTTCGCCGTAGTCGCTGTGGTGGGCGTCGGCGTGCTCATGCCGATAAACTTCATGGGGGACCAGCTGCAGCTGATCGACTTCACCGACCTGCCCAGCAAGTCCGTCGATGTCTTGAGTATCTCCAATGTCCAGGACGGGTCCAATAAGTGAGATATTTCAACCCCTGATCTTCTATAATATTGGTGCACTTATTTTGGGAGTTCTACATGTCATGGTTAGTGTCTGAAGGTGAATTTCAACCCCATGATATATAATTCTAGAGTAGTTTACTTAACTAATAGTACTGTTTATGCCGTTCAGGTTTGGTATTAGGAGGTTAATTCTCCTCGTGCTGCAGTTTTTTATTTCATGGAGTGCATATAAGGAGTTGCATTTTTCTGAGTGCTTGTCTAGTGTTGATGAACCTGATGGCCAATGTCCATGCGCTTTGTCATGTGATATAATCGTTTTGTGTTTTCTACATATTAAATGGCCAGTATAATCAAAATTAGGTAGCTATTCCAGAATTCAGATATCTACAGCTATTCATATCAGTTATGTTGTTTTATAACATGTAGAACTGTAGGTTAATAGATGATGCCGCATCTCTGTTTTAAAAAAGAAACATTGTTAAGTATTCAGTACATAGAATTTGATTAGGATGGTGTGGAACAGCTCTAACCACTCTAATCACGGGGGCTTCACGTCGTGGCATTCTCCAGGGCTTCTTGCTTATGCAAAACATTTCGTTGGAGTCTAATTAGATGTTTCTATTGGAAATTATCTTCCTTTCTGAGCTCTAAGTCATGCTTATTACATGTGGTAACGTGGTTCACAGATTATGGCTTCACTTCTCTGCTGTGTACATCATAACTGGAGTCGCATGCTACCTGCTCTATTATGTAAGTAATTTAATGTTTCTTATACTTTTTTGTTTAGTTTTTAATTTGCATTTTCTTTCTTCATTTGTAACATGATTCCTTGTGTATCAGAGTATCAGTTGGACAGAACACACTATCCTTTTATAATGAATAAATGCTCATTGGATCTGGCATCTGTTTATTACATACTTTGTTTGTAAAAAAAATTGGTGCTTGACTGGTTTCAGTTTTCTCTGTAAGCAATACTTTGTGTTTTTTCTTTGCAGGAGTACAGATATATTTCTGGCAAGAGGCTCGAGTATTTTATGACATCGAAGCCACTACCCCAGTATTTCACAGTTCTGGTTCGAGCTATCCCTATAACTGATGGTGGTTCTGTGAGTGATGCTGTTGATAAGTTCTTCAAAGAGTATCATTCATCCACCTACTTGTCACATACTGTTGTTCATCAAACTGGCAAACTCCGCCGCCTTCTTGTAAGATTCAGTTCCTTTGGATACATTTGTATTGCATAATTATGAACAGATGTCCATGAATCATCAATGGTCCTAATAAAACGTTTATATGGGCTGTCTATCGACTTCTTACATGACATAAGGGTTGCTGGGGAATATAGTTGTATGAAAAATACTAGCATGAGGTTTGGAAGACATGCATTTCAATCCAGTCATGAACAACCGTGTTTCGTTGAATTTATTTTAACTTCATCAACTCAGTATGTATTAATTTGTATATTTTTTACAACGTGATCTTAATGCACTCAGTATGCAATATTTGCATAGGTCAACTTTCATGGATGTCAAAATTTTATAAGCTTACCACATAGCATTCTTACTCTACACATAACAATATAGCATTCTTTTTTGACAACAAATCTGTTAGTAGATTTTTTGTATGCATTTATTCTCAAAGCAATATACTGGATGTCATATATGTCCAGTGAAGTGTTCTGGGTCGACGATTTCACATATGCATGTAGTAATTAACTAGTTACTGATTTTCTATATAAGCATGCCAACTGGATGCTTATCCTCATACTTCTAACCTTCTTAGAACATTTTATTTTCATGTGAAAAAAACTTTGCTCATCTCCCCTAGATGTATATGATAGTAATGGCACACTGGTTTGTTTGCTCTCCTGAACTTCGTAAGGAACACTGCATTCTAGCTTGTTGAACAGTGTCCCGTTTCACTTCTTCTGATTGCCTGTTTGATTTCTATCCAGAATGAGACCGAAATTATGTGGACAAAGCTAAAGAACCTAAAATATGTACCACAACGACCTTCTGCTGACAACCCTCCAAAAAAGTTTCTTGGACTATTTGGAAGAAATAATCCTATTGGGAAATATCAGAAAAGGCTGGCAGACCTAGAGGAAAATGTTAGAATGGAACAATCAGATGCTACTAGGAGACAGGTATGTATTTCTGTTTTTCCTTTGGTCTTGGCTAAGTTAACTATGGTGTATTGATTAGTTTATCTTCCTAGTTGTCCTTTGGTTCTGACAAATGAAGTGCAAACATATTGATATTCTCTTATCTATACTTGATGTTTCATAACTCTTCAGGAGATTCCCGCTGCTTTTGTTTCATTCAAATCTCGATATGCTTCAGCGAATGCAATTTACATAAGGCAGTCAGACAATCCAACTGAGTGGCAAACTGAGCATGCTCCTGATCCTCATGATGTTTATTGGCCTTCCTTTTCTACATCATTCATGGAACGGTGGATATCCAAATTTGTAGTATTTGTAGCTTCAGTTCTTCTCATAATCGTGTTTCTTCTAGTTGTGGGATTTATTCAAGGGCTCACTTATATGGAGCAACTTGAGGCATGGCTGCCTTTCCTGAGGAACATACTGGAAATGTTAGTTTCTGTTCATAGATTATAATCATATATGTTTCTCTCATTGGTTCTTTATTTTGTTATCTGGAAAGGGCCTAGTCAGCATATATGCTCAGATGCTGAATTAGTGATACTAGTGCTATCCGTTCTTATTATGTTGGTTTTATTTATCTAATGTATGGCACATCAGAATGGCTAAACACCTGACCTTTGTCTTCTTTGATCTTTCCAGAGCCATTGTCAGTCAATTGGTTACTGGGTATCTTCCCAGTGTCATTCTTCACTTCCTTTCCTCTTATGTGCCCTCAATAATGAAGCTATTTTCGACCATGCAAGGATTTGTGTCTGTCAGTGGGATTGAGAGAAGTGCTTGCAACAAAATGCTTCGGTTTACCATATGGACTGTGTTCTTTGCAAATGTTCTTACTGGATCAGCCTTAAATCAACTTAACATATTCGTTGATCCAAAGAAAATACCTGAACGGCTTGCGGTTGTTGTACCTGCACAGGTAGGGCATGTGTTTTTTGATTGTCGTCAGCATGACAAGTTCATTTTGGTGTATACTACGAGAAAGCTACCACGAGTTGCTTCTGAGATCGTGCTCTCCCCTCCAAGCTTCATAGAACATGGACAATAACCTTTCTGTTGACATGGATAATATACTTATACAGTTACATGGATACAGTTTTGTACTTTGTTTTTTCGTCAATAGCTTTAATAACAGGCTTCCAAACCTTAGCCTTCATCAACGTTCTTTGTTTTGTCGACGTCCTTCCTGCTGTGGCTACTTATCCATTTCAATATATACCTGCTTACACAATTTTCACCTGTGGCACATGGTATTAGTCCATGCCAGAGCACGTGTGTTGCTAAACAATCATTGGTTTCATGATGATTCTGCAGGCATCTTTCTTTATTGCATATGTGGTGACTTCGTGGACAAGTATAACATCAGAACTCACTCAAACTTCTGCCCTTCTGTATCACTTGTGGGGGAGCTGCGCAAAGTGTTGCAAGAGGGAAGACTCAGAAGCTCCATCGATGCACTATCATAGTGAAATTCCTCGGATTCTCTTGTTTGGACTTCTCGGGCTCACGTACTCCATTGTAGCTCCACTTATCCTCCCATTTGTGTTGACTTACTTCTGCCTTGGCTACTTCATATTTCGCAATCAGGTGAAAACGCTGCAGATTATTAATCGCCCCTTTTAGCTTCCTGTTGCTGCTACACATCGTAGCGTGATCTCTTTGTGCATGGAGGTTGAAATGTGGACTTCAATATCTAGGTCTTCCCAAATTTTGGGTAGTGAACTACTGTTTTGAGGAACTTTGGATATATATTTCCTGGATTTGGCCGCCAGTGTTGCAATGATTGATTCATTGCTGTCGCCATTTATGAGCGGATAAAATCAAATTGATGTGGTCTAAGGCGTATGATGCAAGCCTACCTTTCTCTTAATATGTTTAGGACAGAACCAAAGTGTTCCTTTCTGGAAGATGAACTAGATCATCTAGTGGTGGAATTTAACTAGAACCTTTCTTGATAAACGTGGACATGCCTTGAAACTATGTAAAATTAAATATGGAATATGGAAAATATAGTTGTTGATTGAACTATACTTCCATATATGGGGAGGCTGACAGTAGTATATCAGGTGTCCTGGTTACACCTGTTCTGAGGAGTGACTGCACCACGAGATAATTTTGCTGGGTCAAAATTGCCAAGTAGAAGACATTTTCCATGTGCAATTGTTCTTTACTGCTGGATAAATTTGTCAGAAGTAGTGAAATACTTGCTTCAGCTTTATAAACTGGATATAGCAATTTGCATATGTTTAACTTTATCATTCATCAGTTTAAGTATCTACAGTTTGTAACTTTGCTACTACAAATGCAGCTTTGTAATGTGTATGCACCCAAGTATGACACCGGTGGAAGATTTTGGCCCATTGTGCACAATGCAACCATATTTTCTCTTGTGCTGATGCATTTGATTTCAATCGGAGTATTTGGAGTAAAGGAATTTCCACTTGGTTCAAGTCTGCTGGTGCCTCTGCCAATTCTCACACTTCTGTTCTATGCATACTGTGGAAACCGATTTTACCCCATCTTCGAAGCATACTCTACCGAGGTACTTTTTTATTAGTTTCTCCTTTTGTAAATGCATAGGAGGCCACTCTATGTGTGCACCTGTTTACCTTAGCAACAGCAGCTGCTGTTTTCTTATTCGGAATCTTTAGATATCATTTCTGTGGCATACAAACCCTTCATGTCTCACTTTTGTTCATGCAGTCATTGGTAAACAAAGATATACAAGAACAAAGCAAACCAGAGATGGCAGAGTTCTTCAGCAGCCTTGAAACAGCCTACTGTGACCCGGCACTGAAGCCTATCCAGCGGTCTTCAAACTCTGATGAACGTACTTCACCACTCTTGTCTTCTGTCTAGATCCAGACAAGTCATAGGTGGCATCCTGGCTCCCACGGTGTGAGATTTTTGTTTGATTTTGGGCTTTTGATGATCAGGTACATATAACAGTACAGGTGTGCTTCTTGTTGTGTTTTTTTACACGGTGAAGCAAAACTTAGGACATGAATCCTTGTATTATTATGTTGTACATTTTTCTTTAGGACATAAATTCTTGTATTATTGTGTTGTATATTTTTCTTGGAGGAGTTTGCTGTGCATAATTTTGTGTATCAGATTTGGTGCTCGCTTTGTAGAGATGAATAATACATTTTCCCTTAAGTTTTGGGTTGGCAATGCAAACTGTTTGAACCGACCACGCAAGTTGTAGATCTTAAGTTCCATGCAACCTACTTACTGTCCCTTCTAACTATGTGTTTATGTGGATGTTGTTTTACTCCATATAATTCAGTATATGAGATTTTCTGCCACTTGGAGCAATGTGATCAGGAGCTGCTGTTTTTCCTCCTTCAGTCCTTCTTAAGTGCATTTAAATATGGCCGCTCTGGGTATATTTATGATACTTCAACGTCAAGGTTGAGTTTCTCTAAACACAAAAGCCTGCTACGGTGTGGAACCGATCATGGTGCGGCATTCTGCACCCATATTCTGTTATTACCCAGTTATACGCTGAGGTCAGTTGACAAGCTCATACTACTCTGCATTCATACTGCATTTGAAAATGTCTTGGCATCGCAAAACCATACTACTTCAACCTGGCCAGGTGTTATTTTTTTCTCAACGGCTCTCAGATGTACCCAACAAAGATATGCTGTCGTCAAAATGGCCCAAAGTAGCAAGATTATGCGTTACTGCTTTGTCTTAACTGATATCAGATTCAATAGAGTTTGCCTTGTCTTGGATCAATTATGCTTCCACCATGACCGATTACTCTACTGCTTGGCCGAACCCCAAAGAACAAATTGTGTGATTGGTTGGCCACTTGGAGAGAATACGGAGGTGGCACTCTGATAATCTGTCCTGGGCAATCTTGTGCCATTTGGCTATCCTTTTATCTTGTTCATATAAAATGTGTAGGTACTGCAGGAGGATCTCTAGTGCTAATATGGCAAGCAAGAAGCCATGTGATAGTGGTCGGTGTAAACCCATATGAGATTGTTTGCCACTTGGAGGCTGGAGCTGTGTGATCAGGAGGACCAGGTTTTTCTCCTTCAGTCCTTTTTTAAGTGCATTTAGATCTGGCCACTCTGAGTATATTTATGCTACTTCGACGTCAAGACTGAGTTTCTCTAAACAGCCTGCTATGGTATGGAACCGATCATGGTGTGGTGTTCTATCTACGCCTACATTGTGCTACTACCCAGTTATACGCTGAGGTCAGTCGACAGCCGCATACTCTACATTCACACTACACTGGCTCTGAAAATGTCTTGCCGCCATATCAAAACCATACTGGTCAAGCGCTCCTTCTTTTTTCATCATATATGTGGTACAATCAACTGATGCAAGCATATCTTTGTTGGGTACATTTGAGAGACACAAAGGCGTCAAAATGACCCAAAATAACAATTCAGATCAACCGAGAAGGCTGAACGGGAGCAGGATTATGCGTTACTGCTTTGTCTTAACTGATATCAGACTCAGTAGAGTTTGCCTCGTCGTGGATCAATTATGCTTCCTCCATGACCGATTATTGTACTGCTTGGCTGGACCCCAAAGAACAAATTATGTGATTGGTTGGCTGCCACTTGGAGAGAACTCAAGGTAGCACTCTGGTAACCTATCTTGGGCAAATCTTGTGCCATTTGGCTCTCCTGTCCTCTGTCATATAAAATGTGCAGGTACTGCAGGACCCCTAATGCTAATGCTAACTTGGTAAGCCAAACAGTCCGTGTAAACCATTGGCTAACAGTGGTGCGCCATTTGTCCTCTTCACGGGTAGATTGAACAGTGCTCCATGACACGCCTTCCTTTGTACCTAGTCACTGTCATTTACTCGTTAAACCATCAGCTCACGTATCCTGGGTCACAGAGCACCAAAAGGCATTCTGATGTGACACAATGATAATATTTCCTGATCTCTATTTCGTGGCCAAAACTCATGGAATTCCCAGTGCAGTTGCAAGCTTGACCTTGTCAACCATATCACAGATAGGTAGACCTGACCAGGAGTCCAGGACAAAAAAGATGGCCAGCTACAAAGGTCGAGAAGCTCAGTCCGCAGCTGGGGCCAAACCGCTAGACGTTCACAAGTTGCATGTCCTAATTGTGACGAGGACATCAAGAGTACTGGCATATGCCACCAAAATACTCCTTAGAACATCAGAGGATGATCTTCAATTTTCAATTGTTGTGAGGGAGGCGCATCGGAGGCACCGTCGTCGTCATGCATGACAAAACGCGGACGGGTGGGAACAAAAACGAATTGACAGCCGGATTTAATTTTAACCCCCGCTATGGCTGATTAAGAAACCGGTTAGGGGTCAAGAATTTCAACCCCTAGGGCTGTTGTTTTGTTCTGCTTACGTCGTCGCTCTTGGACACAGGCGTTAAACTCCATGGCTGCAGCTCAGCGTGCTTTGGGAACTGTGAAAACGGAAATTTGGAAATCATGTAAATAAAAAGCACACGCACGTAGTGACTACTGACTTGGTCGTGTGTTATTATGCAAGTTAACTAGATTCCTTTTACGAACACCGCGTAGTACAGAATAGACATATATAGCGACACCACCACACGCACATACTCACACACCGTCAATTGATGACCTATGCAAGGACATATACCTCCTTTTGATCTAAAATAAAATGTCTTATACTCCTTCCGTAAAGATATATAGGCAGTGATATAAACGCTCTTATATTTTCTTACGCTTACGGAGGGAGTAAACTTTTACAGAGGGAGTATTTTTTTGCGGGATACAGAGGGAATACATGCTAGTCTTAGAAAATGTGACGGTCAAATTTGTGTAAGTTTGTCTGTTGAGCCCTCGCAATTTTTTTTGTCTGTCAAGGTATTTAAAAACTACTCACAGTAAGATGAAAACAACATTCAGATTTAGCACAAAAAATACCGTGCATGTGAAAAGCAAGAACAAAAGATGTATATTCGAGGCCATCACTGTCAAAATCATGTATTTCGAACCAAGATAGTACTACTACTGTACTGACTACTGAGCAAGAAGCACTTTGCGGCGTCCGGGCTATGTCACTTGGACTATGCTTAAGAGCATCCGGGCTATGTGAGTGTATTTACCACCGTTGTTGGAGATGCTCTAAGACAGTTACAAAATTTTATGACATCTCTTTTTCAGATACCATCACTTGTGGTCTTGCTATGTGAGTGTCCTAGTGGGACTGCAAAACATCAACTTCACTGCACACTTTCTGGTAGTACAAAGTGAGATCATCAACTCCCACTTTTTAACCTTTCCATTGACGTTGCAATCCAAGTAGTGTGCACTGCTAAGCAAGCTACTTAACAATAAGAAGAGCCAAGTTGGCTCAATCAAAGAACACACTACCAAACTACCTAGTTGCTCAACTGAGGTCTCATATTGCACCGCATGTATATAATATGGGCCATACACACATCATCGCCAAAATGCCCTGGATTTTGCACACCAAGACATGAGCTAATCGCCAAAAGGTAATATCTGGATGTCGCCGAACTGGTCAAAGAGCAGTGTACATGTCCTGCATTATTCCCCTTTCATTGCTACGGTGAAAGTGACAAACATCAAATTCTTGCGCGACAATGATCTACGTCGCAAACCCGGTATGATAAAATACATTGGTGTAATTAATGTTTTGAGAGGTTAACAATGCACAACATACGATAATATAACTGTCTTCATGTAAGGTTTGTATTTGAAGTATTATATCCTGAAAACCCAGCCCTTAAATGGGCCTCGAGCCAGCGATCCTGTTATAATGTATCTTGGCATCAATTATATGTACTATGATACATCTCACAGGGTGTATTCTAGAGAGAGAAATGGTGATTTCACACCATTCATATCAAGTGTTTTTATGATCACGATCCTACAATAATATCAATAGCAATCTGGTCATGTCAAAATGCTCGATTCATGGACGACTTTCAATTCTGATCGCATGAGGAATGATTGGTGTAGCCACATCGTGGTGAGACAGGAGTGATCTAAATAAGAGATGAAGCATACTTAGGCCCCGCTTGGATTCCCTGTAAAGTTTTACAAGTGTATATTGATTACCCCTGTAAATTACTGGAGATCAGTAAAATACAACCGGATATACAAGGGGAGTCTACGGCGCGCTTGGTTCGTCTTGTTTCTCACTTGGTTCAGGGAGTGTTCCCATGCGTTGTGTCGTTGGCGGCGGGAACACAATGAACTGCAAGGCCGGCGGCCGACGGTGCCAGCTAGACGCTCCCACCATGCCCGTGTTCCTCGGCCCTCCCTGTGGCGGAGCGGGGCCACGACGGCTGCGGGATCTGGCTGCAGTGCCGGCGCGCGGAGGTGCTCCGGCGGCGGTGCGAGAAGGCGCTCCGGCGACGTCACGGACGCGGCGGCAGCGTCAGCCCGAAGCTCGGCGGCGATGTGGCAGGACTGCAAGAGGCGACGGGCCGACGGCCCTTGAGTTTGACAGTGGTGTCTCCGGTGAAAGGCGGCGGCTGCGGAGCTTGCTTTGGTTGCTGATACGAGGAAAAACGACGGAAGGAGCAGTGTTTTGGAAACAGGCGGATTACCAGCGGATTACAACTGTAACGTAAAACCAGGGGTAAAATTTACAATGCGGAAACGACAATCCAAGTACTCCGGAGGTATTTCGTTACGGAGGTATCTTTTCCACGTGTAATTGGCTGCAAAACGACCAACCAAGCGGGGCCTTAAGGGGAAGCACCATACCACCAGAATTCACGTGTTGGGATGAAAGGTGGGTAAGGGGTCATCACTATCGGATGGCTTCGCCTCTACCCCGGCTAAGTAGCATGAATGATGAGGGAACATGCATGGCAAGGTGGTGTTGTGGTAGGAGGATCCGGCTTGCCTGCTCCCTTTCCGTGCTCCCATCCGTGCTCCCACCTCAT